AGAAGGAAGTGGTAATTGCGGGGCAACAGGAGGTTTGATCGGTTCACTTGATGGATCTTGTATATCTTTCTGTCCAGATGATGTTGGTTGAAGGTTTAACAAAGGGCTATGTTCTGGATTAGACATTCTCCTGTCTAAGTTGCTTTTCCTTGAACCCTGGATTTTTCTTTCTTTCAGATTTGTTTATTAAAGAGTGTGTATGTTAAAAGAGGAGGATGTGGCTTTCAGCCCCGGTTCCTATTTCCATCATCCGGACACCATAAGCTGACGCGAAAAACTGAAGTGAACAAATTTATCATGGATCAAGCGCGTTTCTTTATCCCTCTGCATTAATACACCAATTTTGGTTCACTATTGTCAGGTATAAATGGGGAAAAAGAGAGTTATCGATGAAAGTGTCGATTACGGTAACATAGCTGTACTCTCTGATGATATAAAATGCAAGAGGCAACAACACAAATTGATAACAACTGAAATACACCGTAAGTTTTACACTGCATGTCAAACATATTTTTGGAGCTTGTTATTAATAGTATTTGATAGAGAAAACCGTCCATATGCTCATGGACGCTTCAAAGAACTTGAAACAGGAGCTACCAGAGGACATATACAATAGCAGTTTGGGGGACGAGAGTCATACAACCAATGAAACTCCCGCCCAGAAAGCTTACTGGCCATGTCTAATTAACAAAGTTACAAGATAAGCAGCCAGCTTCTTAGGGTATTGAGTCACTTCTTTGAGCTACAAGATCAACTCTATGTTACACTACGGAACACATCTTGTTTTATAGAGGTATTGACTAACAGCTGAATACGCGAAAGTTTATAAGTAATTTTAGAGAAACCTCGCTGTTTTATTGAAAGGCCCTATAAAACGCAGCTGTTCATATGACAGAGCCTGGCTGGGATTTATGTCGTCTTTGTTCCCCTTTTAATATATAATTTCCAGGTCATTTGGAGAGAAGCTTGATGTTACATCGGATCGGTTAAGTCATTAACCAATTGGTGGAGCTCAATGTGCTGGATAACTTTCCCACGTTCCCTATTGTCAACTTTGTTATTTTAGTGGTGTGAATCATGTTCTTTTCGAGATTTGTAGCCCTTAATAGAATCGTACACAATTGACCGTGACCGAAGAGTTGCTTGTGGAATCACAGTTCAAGTTTACCTGGGAAAGTTTGGCATTGTGATTTATTGATCTTCATGGCAAAGCTGGCTATCAGAGGATATTGAACCATTCTGAAGGTGACTGGACACCTATGATCAGGATCAGAGGGGAAATTAGTTCTTGGTATAACAACAAATGATCTAAATTGCTGTCCAGATACGATTTTGCAGACCATATGGTTGCTTGATTGAATCGGTTAAGAATCATACGTCTCGTATCTACCAAATCAAATCCACTTGCAATGTTTCTGACAAACATCATTAGTATTTTCTGGTTTGAATTCAAAAGTTTATGGAGGAAACCTGACATGGGAGAGCCTTTTAGCATTTTCAAGAGCTGCATAGGGAACAGTTAGTTCGACCTGCCCCATGGGATCTTTTAATGCCTCTCAAGCTTGCAACGAGCAGATTTCACCATTCAATCGCTTGATCATCAAATTGATGATTATTTGAACTAAGTCAAGAGTAGGAACAGGAAAACAAATATCTGTAAAATAAGTACGAGGATCACCGACTTCTGAGAGACTATCAGGAAAATAGGTTCCATCGAAGCGGTTGATTCATGTTTTCTGGCGGATAAATATGGTTAATAAGATATCAGAATGATACTAATAAAAATAGCAAGGCAACCTTCAAATTTCCTCAGAGTTTACCAAAATGTAGTTGACACTAAACCTAACAAAGTATGAGTATGTAATCTTTAATACTTCTTGAGATATAGCCTTTCATAGCTTGTATGGTATAACTAGAAAAAACGCATAAACTTGCTTATACCTCAACAACACAATAAACTTTGGAAACTGTAACCCCATCAGGCACTAGACGTGATCTTTAAAATCATATGTTCTAACTTTCAGCTTGCCTGGATTGGTGGTTCTTCTGAAATAACCTAGGATGATGTTGTTTTTATGTGTCTAGCTCGTCGTTGCCCTAGCAATCGCAAAAATGTAAGGATGTTTCCAATTTTTATAGGCATTGTTTACATTTTGAATTCTTATCAACACAAATATGACACAAAACCAAAAAAGTTTTATACACAAAAGTAGAAGTATCACAAGACAATGGCCATAAACAAAAGATTAAACAAGAGAAGAAAAGTAACTGGAGTACAACCAAAGAAACTCCAAGAACTCTCATTGGAACCTTCCAACGACGTCCTCAACTTGAGGAAGAAGCATCAGCGGCTAATTCACAACCACAGCAGTAACTTCAAACCAATGGAGATACGACACAACAAGAAAACCCATTAGTTATTGAGAAGGGCTAATTTACTTGTTATGAGAAGGAGATGCGGAACCAAGAAACCTTCAAGTTCTGCCACAGAATATCCATGCAGAGATCAGAGATGTCCCACAGCCACCAATATCTGAACCTGAACCTGAACCTGAACCTGAACCTGAACCCGAACCCGAACCTGATAATGGAACTATGGCTGATAGAATAAGAGGTAGATGAAGAACTACGGCAGATGTTGCAGAAAGAGCGTTAGAAGAAATTAAACGAGATGGTGCTTTTGATTATGATCCCAACTTTGAATACATCATTAAGGATAACCACCAACGGTTTTAATGAGAATGATAATCCAGTTTATGAATAAGAACAACAACAACAACAACAACAACAACAACAACAACAACAACAACAACAACAACAACAACAACAACAACAACAACAACAACAACAACAACAGCAGAGACCACAAAGACCACAGAGACCACAGAGACCACAGAGACCACAGAGACCACCGAACTCGGTTTATAACCCAGGCTGCCTTGAAATGTGTTGCGATTATTCTCACGCTTTCCTTATTGTTACAGAATTACCATCTTTTTGTTGCGACAGGAGGCAAAATTCTACTCGGCGACATATTCAAAGAGCCTCTACAGTACCTGAAAGATGTCTTATTTGATCCAAACACGTCCAAATATTCTCGATCAGTACTGGTGATTCGAGAGGTGGAACTTATTCAATGACCATCAACGGACGCTTATTCCATAGAGTTGATGGTATGATAGCTCAAGAAAATGGTTAAGAGAAATTTGCAGAAATTTACACACTAGCTTCAGGCTTGGCTACAAATCGTTATCGTGAATTGCTTAGAGGTGTTCTTCAAAACGATGAAGAATATAATAAACATGAGGACTACATTAGGAAGATTGGTGAGTTTCTCTCTCAAAACGATCGTTATGCACAGCTGTTATATACCGCTAGAGAAATTGTTCTAGAGGAAATTACAGAAATGGGGTTAACCAGAAGAGAAATTATCGTTCAATTTGCGAATATTGAACCAACAGCACCAACAAGCAGAGAATATCAAATTTCCAGAGGTTAAGCAGTTTACCTTGGTGCGCAGAAGCAATAACAACAAAACAGACTTTAATTTGAGTACGCATAAAAGAAAAGATCTACAGGCGGCTTCACTTTTATCAATATGTGTAAGAGTGATTTTTAATCTTTGAGATGTCCTCTTTTATCAAATAGAGGGCAAGACAAATCTTTTTTCATACTAACGGTACTCAGATTAGTATCATTCTAACATTTATACGAAATCGTACCCTACAGTCTTAGAAAAATCTTAAGGCGTTCATTTCTTTCGTTCCAAAATTCATCATTTTATTAAAGAGGGATCAGGCCTTGTCTAATTCTACGAGAATATTTACATCATGCACTGGCAATTCTTGACAAAAAAATTACCATTGTCAAAGCATACCTTTTTGAATTCTTTAGTGAGCACGCTCCCCTAAATTTCAATCAAAACAAAACAAACCAGCACCATGTCTCTTGGCTTTTTTAAATACAGCCCGTTCATATATTTTGGCTTTTCTCTTTTTATTCTTCTACATTTTTTTTTTCTTTTTCGTTTGTTTACACATTTTTATATTTACTTTTCTTTTTGGTGCATAAGATTCAGATTCAATCAAGAGTATTCCATAAGCATTACATACATATGATATCATTGCATTTGAAACAGAGACATTTCAGAAAGAATCGAGATCAAACAACACAATCAAATATAACAAATTTGCACTGAAATCAAAGCAAATATGCCCTCACAAAATGTTCCAAAGAAGTCTGTTGATTTACGAGATATAGGTCCAAAGAATATATTTTCAAAAATATGTCGTAAGTATCAGTCAAGACATACTCAGTACCGTATCTTGACATATCACACTATCTAATCGATTTATAAAATTCAAGATATATAATGCGACAAAATAGAACATATGTGACAATTTAAATATTTATAGACTACAAGTAGCTCCAAAAAGATCTGTCAAATCCATAATGTCAACAGCCCCTTGTATTATCAGTAAAAAGACGTAACTGCTCCAATGAGTAAGCACGATTTGTAAATTACAAACAAATTAAATATAAAACGATTCCCGATGCCCTCGTAATTTAATCTAAATTTTAGTACTTGCTGTATTGTGAATTTCAATTCATTCTGTTAAATTGGATGAAATTCTTTACATGATATAGCAGTCTTAGAAAAAAGCTTGATAATATTATTACTCCTGAAATGAACTCATACCATGATTTCCTGATGTTGAATAGAAACTCAGTATACACTTAAACATATCTCTTTTCGGCATAAATCCACATGAAATATTAATCCGTTAAAAGGGGTATTTTTAATCAAATGAAGAAACATTAGAAAAACACTGATAAATCAAGTACACCGGAAGAAATCAGGACAAGAGCATTAAGCAAAGGGTGGAACTTTGGTCTAAAATCTTACTTAAGATACTCTAAATGCATCACCACGGAATCTAAAACATTGTGACATTCAGATACTCACAGATATTTGTGATTAATGATTTAACTCAAACCAGTGGTAGGAATCAAATCATACTTCAGAATAATTAAGCCTATATTTTACATGTTCCGAATATTGCGACTGGAATGGATTTCTCAAAACTTGTTGTGGTAGAAGATCGTTGTATCATAATATTTGTATAAATCTTTTGACAAAAATGCAGCTGTTCGGAAATATCCATTACAAAAACTCTTAAAGGTATTTGGTGGTTTGTATTCTTTATTATACATATGTTTGGTATTTTCTTGTCTTCTTTTTCGTAGTTTTTATTGTCCGTTTTAAAGTTTTTTATTTTTATTTTTGTTTTTTTTGTTTTTTGTTTTTCGGGAATTGTCCTTGCCGTTTTTTTAGCATATATATTATACCAATTCTTAGTAAACTAGTTATCTCAATTTGAATAAAAAATATATGCACATTCTGAGAGACATCACATTGTGTGAACATATGGAAAGTGGCCCAGGCGTATGTGACTAGAAATATGGAGTTGAACATTTATATTTTTGATATACCACTACAGAAAACTATGTACAGGAGCGAGTTAAATTAAGTAAAAAGTTCCCAATTGTTTGAAATTAATCTTTTTCTGTTTTTAAAAAGTGGAAATTGATATTCTGTTTCCTCCTACGCAAGCTTCATTTTATGTGACAATAAAATAGAGCGTTTGGTGATTGGACTCCTAGGTAGAGAGGTCCTGTTATCAAACATTATAACTAAAAAAATCTTTGATAGTGTGAATAACCATGGTAGAGCATTGTGCAAGATATATATATATGAAACCAAAGAAAGTCCACTTAGATGTACTTCAAGTAGTTTATTATACAAGTTGACCTGTAGTGGTTGGACGCGGTGAAGGCGATTTGGACTTTTGCGATCGACTTGCACTGCACGGCCCCTCGGGTATTGACTTTAACTCCTTGGTCCCTCGTTTAATAGCATGGGCATTTGAAACTGACGAAATCAACAGCTAGAGAGTCTTCTAAAACTGTAGGGTAAGATTTCGTTTAAGTATTCACAAAAGTGTATATGGTATGGGTATGTTAGAATGATACTAATTTGAGTACTGTTAGTATGGAAAAGATTTGTCTCGCCCCTTCTGTATTAAAAGAGAACATCTCAAAGATCAAAAAGACACTCTTGCACATAGTATTGATAAAGGTGAAGCAACCTGTAGGGCTCTCCTTTGTACATATTGAAATTGGAGTATCTTCTGCTGCTATACTTCTGCGCACCAAGGCAAACTCTTTAACCTCTGGAAATAAAGAAGTATGATCTTCTGAATTTGTTGGTGCTGTTGGTTCAATATTGGTAAATTCAACAACAATCTCCTCTCTTGTGAATCCCCATCTCTGTAATTTCCGGTCGAACAATTTCTCTAGCGGTATATAACATCTGTGCATAACGATGGTTTTGAGATAGAAATTCACCAATTTTCCTAATGTAGACCTCAAGTTTATTATCCTCTTCATCATTTTGAAGAACACCTCTCAGTAATTCAACGTGATGGTTTGTAGCCAAATCTGAATCTAGTGTATAAATTCCTTTCAATTTCTCTTGACTATCTTCTTAAGCTATCATACCATCAACTCTATGGAATAAGCGTCCGTTGATGGCCATTGAACAAGTTCCACATCTCGAATCACCAGTACTGTTAGAACCCAAAGATGATAGCGAAAGAATTGTATTGATTGTTCAAGGTTATTTGGATGTGATTGGATCCAATAACATATCCTTCATGTACTGTGGAGGTTCTTTGAATATCTCACCGAGTAAAACTTTTCCCCTGTCGCAACAGAAAGGTGGTAATTCAGTATCGATAAGGAGAGCATGAGAACAATCACAACACTATTCAGGTCCACCTAGATTATAACCCCAGTTTTGTGATCTCCACTGTTGTTGTACTTAAACAGGCTCACCATTCTCTTTAAAACCGTTGGTGTCATCCTCAATGATGTGTTCAAAGTTTGGATCACACCAAAAGTACCATCACATCTAATTTCTTCTAGTGCTCTTTCTGCTACATATGCTGCATTTCTTGGCCTACCTCTTAGTCTATCAGCCATAGTTCCACTATCAAACTCAGTTTCATGTTCAGATAATGGCGGCTGTTGCGGTAAGTCTGTGATCTCTGCATGGGTATTCTGTGACAAAACTTGGAGACTTCTTGGCTCTGTGTCTTGTTCCCATAACTTGTCAGTTAGTCTGTCTCAATAAGCAATGGGTCTTCTTGTTGTGTAGCACCTCAATTCGTTTGAAGTTGCCGCTGTGGTTCTGGATTAGCCGCTGATGTTTCTTCCTCAGGTTGAGGACGTCGTTGGAAAATCCCAATGAGAGTTCTCTGGGGTTTCTTTGGTTGTTACCGGGCCATTGTTCTTTGCTTGCTTAATCTTTTGTTTCTGGTCATTGTTTGGTGATATCTTTAAGATTGTGTATAAAGCTGTATTGGTTTTGTGTCATTTTGTGTCATTTTGTGTCATTTTGTGTCATTTTGTTTTGATAAGAATTCAAAATGTAAACAATGCCTGAATTGGAAACATCCTTACATTTTTACTATTGCTAGGGCAACGAAAAACCAGAATTACATATATAAAGCAACACGTCCTGATTTGATTTCAAAGAATCACGACTCCAATCAAACTTAAAGTCGGCAAATAGGATGATAGAAATCAGTTCTAGTGTGTGGTAGTCTTAGAGTTTCTTAATTTTAGGTTGTTGTGATATAAGCAAATCCACGCGTCTTTCTTGATTATGCCGAACAAGCTCTGAATTGTTATATCTCATGTGGTATTGAAGATTACGTTCTCATACTTTGTATATCTCTTAGTCAGAGAAGTGGCTACTACTTACTATACTTTGGAGAAATTTGAAGGAGGTTTGCTATTTTCATTAGTAACTTTCTAACTGAGGTAAGAGAAAATCAATTGACTCTTAACAAAAATTGTTAGTATGGTTCTTACAGAAATTCTTGATAGCACAGGGAGTTTGCA